TCGTTGTTACGTTAATTATTGCTAATTCTTTACTTTTTATTTTAACCATATTTTCAATTATTCATTATCACTTTGTTGAAGGGATTTTAAAGATATGCATATTGCTCACAATATTGATGATACAAGATCTACTATTTTTCCTAAGTTAGAAAATTTTAAAAACATATATGAAATCTTGACAATGGCAAAATTAAATAGTGATATGATAAATTTAATCTCTCTTATACTTTATTCTTCTTATTTAATTTTTAAACTAATTTTTTAATTAATTTTTAGAATGCCGTAATTAGTTGTATTATAACTGTGAACGATATAATGCTTTAAAATGGTTAGTATTATATTTCTTACCCCCATTGCAAGAAGAAAGTTTCTTTCACAACTACAAATTTTAAATGTGAATCGTGTTATAAAGACATTAAGTATCCAATGATAAGGGAATTAATTTATCACTATGCATTCTAATTTTTAAATTTTCATATTAAAATAAATTGAATTATATATTATGATCTTAATTTATATATATTATAGGTTTTGTTTTGAGCTTGATGTTAAAGATTCTATAGATTCAACTATATTTGTCTTATTTGATGAAGTTGTTGAACAATTAGCATAAGTAAAGTTAAAAGATCTTATTTTAACTTCTGAAATTGTAAGCAAATGTGCTAATTTATAATTTTCTAAAAAATCTAATCAAATAATTGATTATATAAATAAAATATATTAAAACATATAACTATTTTTATGTAATCATTTTTTTAAAGGTGATGGTGAAGTGTTAAAGTTGCTTCCACAACTTTTAAAGGTTATTGGCACTTCACATATTATTCAAATAAAAATGAGTACTTACTTTGAAAGTTGTGAAAGATAAAATTTCAGTCTAAATAAAATTGTGAAGCCGATAATGAAGGTAATATAGAAGATTAAATTGGAGTTTCATTACTTTCATTTATAATGTTTATAATACAATGATGAATAACTTTATTTTCATTATTTGATATTTACAGATTGAGAATGAAGAAGGTTTAGATAATACAAATGCAAAAACAAAAGAAAATGATTTGGTAATAAATTGTTCACCTATATCTCTAACCTTTGAAACACCGAATTTACCAAAAAGAAGGAAAAAATTAATGTATAAATTATAAATTTATAATGTATTGTTCAAATTTTTTAGATTAGTAATTTATATTTGATATTTTCTTTTAGGTTGTAACTTGAGGAAGACGAATTAAAAATTGATGAACAAAAGACAACAATGGAAGATTTAGAAGATTGAATCATTTTTATTGCAGTATTGAATAAATGATTTTAATATTGTATAAAATCTGAAAAATAAAATGTCACCAAACATTTAAATATTTTATAAAATAATTTTGTTATTTTATTATATATCTCTCTTACTTTATTATTATATATATTATGTATTGACTTTGTTCTTAGACAAATCTTATATGTGATTCATAAATTTTATATTATATTAATATTTGTAAATTTAATTAATATAAAGATTAATTTTTATATTAAATACAATTCTTCTTTTTTAGTTTCTACCTAAATCTTAATTAAAAATTTGTAACTACTCTTTTTTTCTCTTCTATTATTTTAATTTTTTCAGACAATAATTTAATAAGAATTGATATATCATAATTATGTATAACCTATTAACATAGACAATATTTTATTTATATTTTATATTATAATAATTATGATAACAAATTTTATTTTTTTAAATTAAAAAATTAACAATATTTATACTTAATGATTTTGTTGTAATATTTTTTTTTATAAAATACTATAATGATGATGATAAATTCAAAATTCTCCAATTAAAACTAATTAATTATAATAATTAAAATAAATTAAAAATTATTAAATATCATAACAATGAAAATGAATATAATTTAACCGTTTTATTTTTATATTTAATAATTTTATATTGTAACGAATGAATAAGTAAAGAAAAATATGACGTTTTAACTTTAAATTAAGTTTAAATGTTATATTTAATTTCTATATATATCATTTGTTTTAAAATTTTATAAGCATGAAGTCTAAATCTTTACAACTATTAAAAGACTTTAATTTCAAGAAAGATAGAAATTAGTATTTAAAATGTTATAAAAATATTTTTTATATTAACATATCAAATTATATGTATTTATTAAAATTTCATATTCTAACTATATGATTAATTAAAATTTTTAGATTGGAGTATAAATTCTAATGTTTTGAAAATTTTTATTATAACATTCAAATACAAATGCAAAAAAGAGTGTTTCTTAATAGAAAAATTTAATCATTTTGTGAACTTACAATTAGTTTCTAAATATAAATTAAAATATAAATATTATATATAAAAATATAAAATCAGTACAAATATTTTTTATTAATATAATTATTTATTATGTTATATTCTTAAAATTATATTTATTTTTATTTAAAAAATAAAATCAGATTTACTAAATATGGATATCTTTTTGTAGAACTAGGTAATATAATAGAGAGATAAACAAAAAATATATTTGAAAATAAAAATTAAATCTTTAATTTACTATATCTACGTCAAAATGATTAAAACACATCTATTTTTTTAATAGCAATATAATATTTTAATTTATTTATATTAAAGTTATATTTATATATTTTTAAAATAATTAGAGACATAGTAATAATATATTTTTTATACTTATTTTTAGTCAATCTATATGTTTTCTTTTATATAGCATTTTAAATTTATTTTTTAAAATTTATTTAAATTAATATTTGTTCTTTTAATAAAATTTTTAAAATATTATTTTATTATTAAATTAGTTTATAGATATATTTATTTTTATTAATTCTTAATTAAACGATAAATAATAAACAAACTGTATTAATTATTTTCAAAAATTAAAAAACAATAAGATAGAAATTTAATAAATTTATTATTTTAATTTTATGACTCAAATAACATAAATTTATTATACTTAATTAGTTATTAAATAAAATTTATTTATTTATAATGTTAATTAATATTAATTCTATTAAATTATCAAAAAATATAAAATAATTTAATCATTTAAAAAAAAAAACTCAATTTTACATTTTTTTTTATCAAAAAATAAACTTTTAAATTCAGTATATATATTACATTATTATTAATTTTTATTTACAATCTTTTTGTATGAAAATTTTATTTATATATAAAAATTTTAATATATTTTTATTTTTCAATATTAACATATAATTTTGTATATATTGATATTGAAAGAAAATTTTTAAAATTTCATTGAATAAATACTTTATTTTTTATATATTAGTCAGATAAGTTATTTTAAAAAAATATGATATTATGTTTTAATAATTATATAGTAAAATTTTATTAATAATTTGAAATTATAATTATAAATAGATAGTTTATCATATAAATTTAATTAAAAAATATATAAATAAAAAATTATAAAATTTTTTATTTAAATTTTATAACTTTTATTAAAAAATTTATTGTATTTAATAATTTATTGTTATAATTATTTATTTAAAATTTTATAATAATAAATGATTTATGATATCATAAAATAATATAAATTTTATTTTTACATTTTAAAAATAAGATAGACTAAATTATACATATTTTAAATAATAATTTATTTTGACAAATAATTTTTTTATTATATTTATATATTTTTATATTTAAATTATATATTTTATATTTTAAAATAAATTAATTTCATAAAAGAATAAATTGCACGAGCATATTTCCTAGTCTATTTATAAATTATACTATTTAGTTAATGTGGTTTGATTAAGAAAAACTCTGTCATCCTATATTATAAAATTTAACATTAATTGTTGTGTAATTTTCCTAATTATTACATTAATATGTTTTAATTTATAAAATTATAGATAAAAATGATAAATTTTCAACTTACTCTCTCATTGTTTACTTAAATCCAATGCTTAATAATAGTTTAAAATTCCAATATAAAAATTAAGTCTGTAAAACTTATACATAAATTTTTACTGATGTAAAAATAATCTATAATTTTAATAGTGTCAAAAGTGTTTAATAGATTATACAAAAAAATGATTAAAAAATAATTTTATATTACAATACGATATCTAACAACATTGTATTTTGTTGCAAATTACAATCACATTAAATAAATTTATAATATTAATTTTTCATGAACTCTTTTTGTATAGTTTTAACACAAATAAATTTTAGACATTTACATATCACCTGCACACGCATCAAATACAAATATTAAAAATAAATAGAGTATAAAAAATATAAACGTTTATTAACATTTCCTAATAAACCTTTGCCTACTCATCAATTACCAAATTTTTGTGCATCACATGATAATTTTTTTAAAAAATTATAAAAAAATAAAAATAATTTTTTTGTATTGACTTTGATATTTTTTTATTTACCATATATATAAATAAATTAAAAAGACAAGGTTTTAAAACTATATGAAAAATTATAAGAAAATTATTTAAAATCAATACACATTTTTTTAATGATATAATTTATTAAAATTATAAATACTAAAATTAAATTATAATAAAAATGGTTAAATTTATAATAATTTTAAAATAAATTTTATCTGAATTAGAAATATATTTTTAATTTGATATTGTGTATCATAACTTAAAATTTAAAGTAATATAAATTTTATTTAAAGAATAAAAATTGAAATTGGTGATGTAAAGATTGACCAATGCAAATATATATTCACATTTTTAGTATATTTATTTTTCATGTGGGGAAGGGAATGTAAAAATTTGTCTCAGTAATTTTGGGGGACACATTTTGTTTTCGAACATTGCGAGTGAATAATTAAACGACTTGAAAGCCCAGGCAAAGGGGAAGGAACAGGCCCAAGAAGAACAGCGCACAAATTCAGAGCCCAGAACTGCAATGACAAATCCGTAATTAAACGACTTGGCAGGGGCAATGCCAAAAAAGCGACAGTATAAAACCTTATTGGCGATGAAGGGTTAGGGTTTCTCACTCATCTTTCTGCTCTCAGAGCACACCACTCTGTTTCGCAGATTTCACATATTGCGCCAATGGTAGGAACCTTCGAAGTCGGAGCCGTCCCTTTCAACCCCGACGGTTGGGGTCCACCAGATACCGCTTCCGGTACCACCACCAACCTCCCACTCAACGTTCCTTTCGCACCCTTCTCCCGCTCCGACAAAGTGGGCCGAATCGCCGATTGGACCCGCAACTTCAATAACCCGGCTCGCCCAAAGAACCCGGCCGATTCCGTCTTCGACTTCACAAACGACGACTCGTTCCCTGCTTCGGCCGACGACGACTCGTCGTTCCGCTTGGTCGACGGCAAGCCCCCTCCGCGTCCCAAATTCGGACCTAAATGGCGATTCCAACAACAACGACAACTCCCTCAGCGTCGTGACGAAGAGGTGGAAGCGCGAAAACGCGAAGCGGAGAAGGAAAGAGCACGCCGCGACCGACTCTACCACCTTAACCGATCAAACCCTAACGCTCCTCGGCGTGAAGCTGCAGTTTTCAAATCCTCTGTGGATATCCAACCCGAATGGAACATGCACGACCAGATCCCCTTCTCCACCTTCTCGAAGCTCTCCTTCAGCGTTCCCGAACCCGAAGACCTTCTCCTCTGCGGCGCTCTTGAGTACTACGACCGATCCTACGATCGCATCACTCCCAAGAACGAACGCAGACTGGAGAGGTTCAAGAATCGGAACTTCTTCAAGGTTACCACCACCGATGACCCTGTTATTCGCAGGCTCGCTAACGAGGACAAAGCCACTGTTTTCGCCACTGATACTATTCTCTCCACTCTCATGTGTGCTCCCAGGTCTGTTTACTCTTGGGATATCGTTGTTCAGCGCGTTGGGAACAAGTTGTTCTTCGATAAGAGAGATGGATCTCAGCTTGATTTGCTTTCTGTTCATGAGACCTCGCAGGAGCCACTTCCTGAGGCTAAAGATGATATTAACTCTGCTCATTCGCTTAGTGTTGAGGCTGCATATATTAATCAGAATTTCTCTCAGCAGGTGTTGATTAGGGATGGGAATAAGGTTACTTTTGATGAGCCTAACCCATTTGCTAATGAAGGTGAAGAGGTTGCTTCTGTGGCTTATAGGTATAGGAGGTGGAAGCTTGATGATGATATGTATCTTGTTGCGAGGTGTGAGGTTCATAGTGTTGTTGATGTTAACAAGCAGAGGTCTTTCCTTACTTTGAATGCGTTGAACGAGTTTGATCCCAAGTATTCGGGTGTTGATTGGCGGCAAAAGTTGGAGACGCAGAGGGGTGCTGTGTTGGCTACTGAGCTTAAGAACAATGCTAACAAGTTGGCTAAATGGACTGCTCAGGCTCTGTTGGCGAGTGCGGATATGATGAAGTTGGGATATGTGTCGAGGATTCATCCCCGTGATCATTTTAACCATGTCATTTTGGCTGTGGTTGGATATAAGCCAAGGGACTTTGCAACACAGATTAATTTGAACACGTCGAATATGTGGGGGATTGTGAAGTCTATTGTGGACTTGTGCATGAAATTGAATGAGGGAAAGTATGTTCTTGTGAAGGATCCATCGAAGCCCCAGGTTAGGATTTATGAGGTTCCCGCTGATGCATTTGAAAATGACTACGTGGAGGAGCCACTTCCGGAAGAGGAACAAGTTCAACCTCCGGCAGAAGGTGCTGAGGGTGGAGAGGCAGCTGCTACCACTAATGCTGTGGAAGATAAGCAGATAGATGATCAAGCCTAAGGTTATTCTACTAACTATGGTTCATAGTCTATTTGGGTTTTATTAATGTTATTAGACGTGTTATGATGGCTTTTGTTGGAGTTATGAAAATGTACATGTTGCTTAATGCCTCGTGATTCGTTGTGCTCAGTTTTTATTTTTTTGCTTGTTGTGGCATGATGTATTTGGTTATTCAGTGTTTTGTGAAGGATTTGATTGCATGTGTAGGATCAGTGCAGAACTTAAAAAAAAGAAATTGCGGTGCATTTTGAGGTCTCCTATTCCTTTTCTGCAAACTTGAGTGATCTATGATCTCTTTTAATTCATAGCTCCTTCCCCCCTTTCATTACTTATATGTGTGTCAAGTGCATAAATTATTGATGTATCAAGTATCTTTAGTTGTTCCTGGCCTGGAAATAGTGTTTGGGATCATTCTAATCACCTCTCAAGTATTAAAGAACTTTAAAATATTTTGAATTTTCACCGTGATGTTCTTTAGGTAGGGCTCATTTGGGATTTTGGTGCCAGACTACCAGTGCCTCATATGTATGCATCTGGACTGTCATACTTATTTGTTTGAATATCCAGTAGATATTGGTTGGGAAATATTTCATGTTTTTTGGCGCTATTCTGCTAATCATTATACTCACAACTTGGCTCTATTCTGCTAATCATTATACTCACAACTTGCACTCTCATCTTGCTATGGAATAATTTTTGGTCAACATTTGTGGCCATCTTATTTGCAGAATTTTCTAGGTTTTTCTGTTTGGTGCACTTCCTCCTGATTTGTTGTATAGAGGAGCCCCCTTCTAAACCCCTTCTAAAATCCATGCTGATAAGAAGGCTTACGTGGAAATTGGAGTGCCTGGTGTCTAACCTGTGCATGTATGAGTTTTACACACTGTAGTGGCCATATCACTCTAATACCACTTGCTGTGAGGCAGAATGTATTCTGCTCCCTCTTCCTGCACCCAGTCATTGTTTTGTTGGTTGGTGATTTTGACTGTCTTTGGACCCTGACCATAGGCATCTATTAACAATTTTTAATGACTTGAGAAAATATTAGCACCCTGATTAAGTTACTGAATCTTTAATGTGCATGTATAAGGAATTCTCGAAATAAGCTTATTTCTAAACATTTCGGCAGGCAAAACAGTAAGTTAATCTCTTCATTTCCCCTCTAAAGAAAAGAGAGAGGAGGCATCTATTATAGTGTCAGCGAGGTATAGGATGTCTCCTAAATTGAAGGCCAAAGAGGACATGCCTTATAATTATTTATCTAAAACTAGCAAGTTTGGTACGAGTAATGAGATCTGGAACTACTCAAAACTCAGGTTATATGTTGATAGGTGCAGAACTATTTATTATGTGTGATCACTAAAGGCAATCAAGTAGCATTCTGTTGTGCCTTTTCTGGAACTATTTTTTAAAGTGAATTTTACACAACATTATTATGCATTTATTGGAGACATAATCATTTTCTACTGGGATGAGGGAGATTCAATGATCGTAGAAACAGTGACGACTACGTCATTTGAATGTCGTTTGATGGGCAGAATAATAATTTGGACCTTTAATTTTGCTAATAATATTTACTCGTAGATAACGTGTGATTTTTTGGGTCGGTGCAGGTCAGATGTTTACTTGGATTAATGGCCGTTCACTTGGGAGCAGATTGGACTCGATCATTTTCTCTTTCGCACTGCTTATTTGTCGGCCAAAATTTTGCAATTTAACTTCGTGATGTTCCTTTGGACCAAAAGTTTTAAAACTCTTTCTGATTTTTTTATGCTACACCTGTCTATGATTTACAGACCTTAGCATATTTAAGTGGAATGAATCAGTGCGTTTCAAAATTGTATCACGCTCATTTGGGTTTAGTTTTATTAAGCAATTTCATTAGTTTTTTCTTTTACTGTCATGTGGTTTTCAGAGATTTCCATGTTGGCTCTGAATGGTCTTGAGATTTGAAAGCTACGAAACATAAATTTATTGTTATCTTGCGCTCGATTTGTAAACGACTAAATTTGTAGTATTAAAACATGCTTTATTTCGTATTTTTAGGGCATTATCCAACATTTTTGGTCTAACTTCATTTCTAAATTTGTCAGATTGGAGAGTTTCACTAGGTTATCACTAGCCTGCCCATTCTAGATAAAATGGGTCTAAAGATCTAGCCAGGGTCGTTTTGGGCTTAAAGGAAGAATATAGGCCCAAGTAATTTAAGATTAGTATGGCGTGGATCATCTCTGCTATTTATACAAGATTGCATCGAACTTTTAGGACCCTTTTTGAAACAATTCTGTGTAGCAATTCAATTTTTACGTCCCTTGATATTTATTTTTTCATTTGTCATCATATTCGTTACATTTTACCCTTTTCCCCCTCTTATTAAGGATGCATATACCTTTTGAAGTTTGAAAATTTTAATTTTTAAAATGGAATTAAACAAAAAATAATAAAGGATTGATATTTTAATATCTCTTTTCGGGTTATGTATGTACCTACTGGTTTGTTTTGTAAATTGAGTGTTGATTTTGGTGAGATTGTCACCGAAGGAAACGGAGGGAAGAGGCTACATTTGGAATTAATTTGTCATTTCATTAAAGGCGATGCAAGTTAGTAAAAAACTATCGGAATTCGTTTGGGTGATTCCACTATTTTTAAGAGTGGATTTAAAAATATAGTTTAATTTTTATTCAATAAATATTTGTTATATAAAAATTAATGGTATAAGTTAAATTATATAATTTATTGAAATAAGTTAAAAAAAATTATTCTAATAAATTTATTAAAATTAGATAAAAAAAAAATCTACAGGAGTTATAAGTTTTCTGTATAAGTTCCTTTAAACATCTTTCAAGTCTCGTGCAATCGTATATGGAATAGTTTAATTATAACTAGAAGTAAAGTTATTATTTTTATTAAAAATATATTATTCATTAGATTTGTTAATTTTATAATTACAAGCTATCTAAAATCTTAAAATATAATTCCTTAAAATTGATATTGTATTCTTATGTCAAATATGCTTAGTTTAATATCATTTTTTAATAAATATTATTTGGGACTCCGAAAGAACGGGCTCGGACTTAGACATTACTTAGCTCTTCTTTAAATAAAAGGAGTCTTTTATTTGTAGTTTTCCCCCCTTTTACACTTGTTTTATTTATTTACTTTTCAAAATATCCTTTATAATAGCAGAAAACCTGGTATTTAAATAAAAACATCTCAACAATAGTGAGGTCGGAAAAGATGAATATAATTATGACTAAGGTATCGTGTAATCTATAACAAAATTTGGGAATGAAGGCTAATTCATTGAGTCGGTCACTTCATAGATCCAAATGCATTATTGAAGATAAAACGCCTTTTCATTCCCAAATGCATCATTAAAAATGAAATAATAACAACGTTGTAGAACCAACCAATCAAGTACCAACTGGAATTTCATCTTAACCTTTCAATTGTTTGTTTCCTTCTTGTTGACTCGAATTCAATTCTATTGAGTTGTTTATCTGATTCTTTCACATTGCAAAACCATTCATTGCACTTCTTCTCTGATAGAAGGTTCGCATTTTACTATGCGCATTTTTTTTTATGTTGAGGATCCATTCACTGTTCACACTTGCTTCTCTTATTCTCTAGACATTTGTGTCTACTCTTCTACTTATGCAGCGTGTAACACTCCAAAGTTACGGAATAATTACTGTTTGGTTGATAACTCGTTAATTTCTGGAATTCGATGCCTTCTCAAAGTGGGGATGCACTTGAAAATCATATATGTAGAAATGAGCTATTGTGCTCGTCGCCTTTACCTAGCACAAACCAAGGGATTGATGCTTGGCAAGAATCACTCCCTTCACAGTACTGAACCCTTTTTGCCTTCAATTATTCCATCACGGTCAACGAAGGTTGGCTCAAAGAATTTGATTTGTATTTCGTAAAATAAGTTTAAATCTTACTGTTAATGTTAGCACATTTTGAATCTTAAGCAATACTCTGATTTTGGTGAATTTTTTAGACTCAACTCACACAAACTGGCTGAATTTTAAAATAAGATTTAAAGGTTTTAGATAAAAAATAAAAAATAATTTATTTAGTTTTAAAAAATAACTGAATTCAGAAGAAGGTTTCTTGCTAGATTTCACAAAGCTTTAGACTTGTGCTCCCCTCTAGTTGTTGAACTCCGGAGCATATTTTGAGAATTAAAGCTTGTTATATCTAAAAATATTCATTATATTTGGATTAAAAGCGACTCTAAAAAAGTTATTTTTTTCACTGTAAAGATTTAAAATTATAATTACTTTTTATTTTTCTTAATTTGTAATATTAGATATTTACTTAGAAAGATTAATTTTATTAGATTTAATCACATCTTAAGAGAAGCTAATTAGTGTGTTGATTTTTTGACTAAGTTCTTATTTTAGGTCTTCTTTCACTTGTTTTAATGAGGCCCTTCTCTTTAATCTCTTTGGATTCTCTAGATACTTGTTTTCCTAGATAGTTAATTTAATCTTGTTTGTTTCTTTGAGCTTTCAGACCTGGTTTAATAGCAAAATAAATAAATAAATAATAAAATATAACTAAGCTTATTCAATAAATATAATAATATAATGCTAACTACTCTATTGCAATCTCGTAACACTGATATTACGGTGCAACATGTTATAAAGGAAGAGAATCATTTTACTTTTTGTAATAACACGGATGTGAAGGGTTCAATATGTCTTTCGCTACAAGAAATTTTATAAATAAATAAATAAATCTTTCAAGCTGTAATTTTCTTATAATTCCAAAAAAAAAAATTATTAAAACAAAATATGTTCACTCATATTAAATTCTTACATTATTTAGTTGTGAGAAGATTTTATATTTATCTCTCTTGGTAAACCTTCACAAATGTTTTAAGTCCAACTTATTAAATGCTTGTAAAAAAATAAATACAGACACATTTTTATTATTAAAAAAATAAAAACTCATTTTTTAATACTTATAAATATGATTTTAAATTTATTTTATTAATTTATTCTTTGCAAATTTTATATTTTTAAAATGATCCTATAATGGTTAAGTGTTAGCATGATATGCTTTTAGTAATATCACTTTATAACTATTTCTATGTCACGTAGTTACTTACAAGAGTTATTTAAAAATAAATAATTTTTTTAAAGATTAGCATTAAAAAAACCGATGGACAAAAACTAAAATCAATTATATTTATAATAATTAAAAAATATATTTAAAATTAAATTTATATGAAATTTATTAAATTATGTAGAATTTACTTTTAATTTAGTGTAATTTACAAGACATTTAATCCATAATAAAAAGTTTTAAAAATATAAAAAGAGAATTAACAAGTGTAAAATAATAATACTTTTGCATATTATAATGTTCATGAACCTTCCATTCGTCAAGTAGTGGCTTCTCTCTCTTTATGGAAACAAATTAATTAGGACAATTTACGATGCATGTGGTCAAGCTAGCACTGGAGTGTTGGATAAAAGTAAAATATTATAAGAATATAAAATATTTTTTTTTATTATATTCAATATTTAATGTAAATTTGATAAAAAAATATATGATAAAATTATTCTTTTGTTTATATTTATTAAATTAAATTTTATTTTGTTTTACTTTTATAAGTTATTTTTTAAAATTTATAAAAAATATATAAAAAATTTATTTTTTTAATTTTTAAAATATAAAACAATAATTTAATATGTTTTAAAAATATACAAAAATAGAGTGAAGAGAAAAGAGAAGAATGAGAAGAGAGAAAAGAGAGATAATAAAGAGGAGAAAAGAGAAAGAAGTAATAGAATAATTTAAAATATGTTGCTAATGAATTTTTTTTTCTTTAATTCAATCATATTTTCAAGACAATAATTATACTAATTTAATAAGATAAGTTAAGTAACAAGATAAATTAATTCTATCCTTATAATTGAATAAACACTTGATTAAAAATAAATATAATAACTTGTTCATTAAACAAATTTTGAAAATTTGACATTGTATATGCTATTGTATATAATAATAACTATTTTTATATATGCAAAAGATATATCCTTTAATGTACAGGGATACTTAAAATATCTCAATTTGAATGTACAAAAATATTTTTAAAAAAGAAAACTTAAACTCATGAGACAAACGCATATCCCAAACAAGTAAAGTTTTAATTAAAAAAAAAAAAGGTGTGTAAGATTCAGGTTGTTGTCCCTATTATGTTAGTATTTTTGGGTCACATATATATTATTTAAATGTGTTAGAGGCTATTATCTGATCAGTTAAAATTATAAATGAGTTTATGGCCAAAGGCATAATTATTATAAAAAGTTATTGTGTAGATAGTATAAGTAATATTCTGATTTGATGAGAGGTCAAATTAAAAATATTAAATTAAGAATGTAATTGACAGAAGTTATATTAATAGGTTATGGTCCCCATTTGTAAAGAAAGTAATAAAATGTACAAAGAACAAATTTTGTTCTTTTCTCTTCATCCCCATCACAAGAGAAACTTGGAAAGGAAACTTAAGGCACTCTACATTTGGAAGATCATATACCCACTGTTAATCTCATCACCTTCATCATTCCCAAAAGCAAATTAAGGTACACTTCTGCATTCTGTTTTCATCATGAATTGGAGTATGAGTTTATAAGAATTGATCTATAATTGTACTATAATTTTGGTTCTATATAGGTAAAAGCATGTAGTTAGGCACAATTATTAATTGTTGGAAAACCCAACAATGGTATCAGAGCTACTCATACTTAATTCATGTATAATTTTGAAAAATTTAAAATTAGGGTTCCAAAATTAAGATTTATTGATTTTTCATAATTCTGAGTTGTAGCATATGATGTTAGTTTGGTGTTATGTGAGTCGGTTCATTGTTAATTGAACAAGGAAAATTAGCGCATGATGCAATTGGTATCAAATTACTCTTGTTGTTGGCACTCTGCAATGGATAAAGTACAACTTAATTTGGGTTCCCATTTGGGTTTCTAATTATACTATGATTTAATGATGGGAATGCCAAACAATAATTGTCCCATGAGTCCAAAAATATCTATGCTCGTTCCTGTCAAATTGGGCTCCTCTTACAATAATTTGACTTTGCCTCGGGTTCCTGTACAACTTAGTCATGCAACACACTTTTATAGACAATTTGTGTCAGATTATGTTTTTCACAATCTATGTGATATTTTTTTTATTTAATTCTGGTCATTATAATGATTGTTGAACGATTTTTTAAGAAAATTCAGCGTCTATACACACAAACCAATGGTTTCCAAAATTCATGATGAAACATATCACGTAAGCTGT